CAGTTGTAAAAAATCCACGTTTTACCATTGCAGTGATACAGTACAGAGAGAACAGTATGAGCACCTACAGCAGTCTCCTGAAAGGCAGGTGGCCTGGTGGTTAAAAGCTTTGTTAAACATAAAATGTGCAATATCTATTTGTTGTGGATCAGACGGTAATTAAGAGTAATTTTTGAGGCAGTCATTGATGTAAGCCACTCTCCTTTTACTCCTCACTCAATACCTGTGTGAAGTGGTCTAGCTTGCTGTCAAGTTGTACACTGCAATAATGGACACTTGTTTCTTTTTTCCTCCCGGCCGCGCTGGATGGCTGGAGTGAGAGCACTGCAACTGTATGGATAGTGCATGTAGGGGATGCATGGTGCATGTAGAGGACAAGCCAGCTCTATAACTGTTCCCAACTCTGTGCTGCTTGGAGCAGCTCCAAGTGAGTTTAGTAACGAAGTGACTGAAGGTAGCTGCTGGGGCTGGGGGTTTGCACCACCTTCTGAGTTCTAGCAGTGTTAGCAGCCGTGGGGATAGTTCATTAATTCCTGAGTAGCATAATTTAAGAAACTGTTGGTTTTGTTACTTAAAATACTGACATGTTTTTGCCCTGTAAGCTACAGAATTCTTAAAATGGAAATCCCATAGCTGCCAAGACACTTCACACCATGATACAGGTTTAGATCTCATGCAGGTTAACAGAGAGAAAATAGGGAGGATAGGACAGAAGTCCACCATCCTTGCTTGCCCACAATGTACAGCACCTAGAAAAGGATACAAAAATGGCAACTTTCTTTTAACTCTGCAGTGCATTTTAATGCACCAGGAAAAATTTGTGTCACTGACTGTACGTATGTGGTGACTCCACCGATGCCCTCACCTCACCATTTAATAAATAACAGTGAACATCCTTTGGCATTCATATGTTAAAGAAACACTCAGTGGCAGTGGCACCTGTGAAGTGGCAGTTTTGTTGGCCATTTCCATGAAAGTAATTTTAGAAAAAACATGATAGGTAATAGGAGTAACGTAAAAATTACCAAACTTAAACTAAACACAAACACTTCACTATTATTACAATCTCATTCAAGTACTTCTCTTCTTTTTCATTTTCACACTTTTATAGGCCATCATTTATCTTCAAGAAACCTCCAAACTCTCTGTGATTCATCATCAGTGGGGCTTATATAGATGTCTAGGTAAGGCATGGGGAAATCTACCCCAAAACTCAGCATCTCCTGCTAGACCCACACATCTGATCTCTCTTACCTCTGGTTTTCTGCAGGTTACTTGAGAGTATGGCTATCCAAGTACTTATTTTGCAAGGAATTATTACCTTAAAGAGTTGAAATTATCCTTAAGTACTATTCCAGTTACTGGAAGGATGGCTTAGTCACATGAAAATAAAGTACCTACTAAGCTGTGTTTTCCAGAAAGTATTCTCTAGCAGGAGATTTTTTAAAAAAGTTGATGCTGATAAATTTTCCCTTTTGGTTTATTAGCAGACTGAAATTGCCCAAGAAATGTAATGCAAGAAATCTGCCTTTTGTCAGACTACTTCCATTCCAGTTTATAAACCAAAGGAGTTATGTATTGTACCTACTGAGCTAGTACGTAAAACACCTCCTTTGGGCATCTCAGATTTTAAAACTGAGTAATAATGAAGAGGCTGCGTTGGTGGATTTGTCACCAGCTGCACAGCTGCAATGTGCCTGTGACTCCAGTGTCTGCACTGGCACTCCATTACACTGGCTTCTTGCTCTTAATTCACAGAATCATAGTTTGGGTTGGAAGCGATCTTCAGGGGTCACCAAGTCCAACTGCCCTGTCCAACCCAACCTTGAAGATTTCCAGGGATCAGACATCCACCACCTCTCTGGGCAGTCTGTTCCAGTGTTTCACTACCCTCATTGTAAACAATTTCTTCCCTATATCTAATCTGAATTTTCCCTCTTTTAATTTAAAACCATTACTCTTTGTCTTGTTGCAGCAGGCCCTGCTAAAAAGTTTGTCCCCGTCTTTATAAGCCCCCTTTAGGTAAGGGAAGGCTGCTGTTAGATGTCCCTGGAGCTTTCTCCAGGCTGAACAGCTCCAACTCTCTCAGCCTTTCCTCATAAGAGTGGTGCTCCAGCCCCCTGATCATCTTCATGGCCTCCTCTGTACCTCTTCCAACAGACCCATATCTTTCCTGTGCTGAGGATCCTAAAGCTGGATGCAGTACTTCATCCAGACTTTCTTCTTATTCTTGCAGTTCAGTAAAGCTGCATTTTTACAGGGGGTAGAAGTTCTTTGCTGCTCTGTAGGTCAGTGGGATTAAAGAAGCAGCACAGTAGATGGATGGCCCTGTGGCTGTGCCACGTTCAGTGTCTTGGTCAGGGCAGTGGCACCCAGAGTGTTCTGCTCCCTCTCGGGAAGCGCAGCCGGAGCCTTGGAGCACGGCGCTGGATATCAGCGTGGCTTTTTTCTGCCTCTGTTGGTAACTAACTCTGTGACCCCTTTGTCTGTCAGTTTGCACATATGGAAACAGTTTTCCCCTTTTCAGAGGTGTGGTGGGGATTAATTTAACTTTACAAAGTGCTTTTTGATTCCCAACTGAAAGCTACTGTAGGAGCTCAAAATACACTGATGAACCAGTACCGGCTGAAGATCTTTGATGTGTGTCAGTGTATTTGTTGAAGAGTTTATTTGACAGTGATTTCTTTCTGCTTAACCTAACTTGAGGACTGAGCCAATCTTGTGTTCCTTCTCTCCCTAGATCTTTCTTCCCCTCTCTTTCTCATGCGCTCACCCACCCCTCAGTAGAAGTTTGGAATAAAGTATCGACTGAATAAGGAAATAAAAAATATTTAGTTTTCAGATGTTCCAGTTATACTGGCAGTATCAGTGTACTGATAGTCTTCGTTAGAGTAAACCCACATGCTAGCCATGGACAGGACAAGGCAGGGACTGCCTTCTAGAATAATTCTTCTATTCCACTTGGAAACACTGTACCTTTTTTCCTAGGGAAAAAGAAAGAAAAGATGGAAGAGTGGCAATAGAAATTTCTGATTAATTCCATGGCCAGGTGGCAAATGCATTACTTGTAGCAGTTCTCTGTCTCCAGTGTTGGAAATAAAAATCATAGTTAGAAGTGTTTTCTTCAGCAGTGTTAGTGTTTTAGCACTGGCTTCCATTCTCTCTCACAGCTTTTAACAGAACAGGTTTAAAGTCCTATGGTTTCTGTTTCAGTGTGTTTCTCAAGTTTCCAGCTTGTACCACAGTTTTTTTGGAGACTATATCTGAGAATATTCTTGTGTAGTTCTTTGTTATGTGGTGAGAATATTTTCACAGGAATTTCTAACATCTTAATAAAAAATTAATTAAGTTGCATTTTCTTTATATGAAAATGTTGATTCTTTTTGGTTTTCCACTTCTGTATGGCTGTCTACAAATGTATTTAAGGGCTTGGACTTGGCTAACGTAGCAAATGGGATATTGCTTGGGAGCACAGGGTTGAAATTAAGTGAAAGTAAATTAAGCTAACTATCAAGCAAAGAGCCCTCCCAGTGACACCTCTAAGGCTGTAGTACAGTCTTCCAAAGCAAGCATTGGATGATTCACCATTTCAGACATTTCAATTCAATCTAGAAAGCTGTAGTAAATACATTGTAGGGAACATTCCTGCACTGGCAGGGGGGTAGACTAAATGAGCTATTACCAGTAGCTCTTTTCCATGTCTGACTGATAGTTGGCTAGGAACCTGTTTAGTGTAGTCGCCAATTTTTCTCCTTTTTTTTTTTTTTTTTTTTTTTTCACTTGGAGAGCACTGGTGACATTGGCAGAAGAATGCTTCCTGTGTTTGAGAGAGGTTTGCGTGGCAGGGTTGTCCCAAAAGCAGGCTATTTTCAGAGGAGGCATTGACACTGATAGCCTTAATCCTTTTCTAAAGGTTTTTTAGAAAGGTTTTCATAGGATCTGACTCATGTGAGAGGGTGTGGTAGTATTGGGGATATCTGTGGATTAGCTGCTACACATATTTTCAGGTCTTTTAAATTCAAAGTCAAATGATCTTGCATGTATTAATAGAGCCTTTTTTTTTTTTTTTGTAGTGAATGATTCATAGCTTTTGATTTTTCCTGGAATTTTTTTCTTCCCTTGCCTTATAACCACTGTCCTTCTGGGTAAAAGAAGCATTTTTACAAAATAGTTATGAAAGTGAGGTAGTGGGTTATTCTGTCTGTGTCTCCTGAACTCTCCTATAAAAAAAACATCTAATGACAAATGAGAGCGATGATCACTCACGTTTGACTCGTGTTTGACTCAGGTTTTCAGATATGTTTATACAAGACTTTTTCCTTTGAAGATGCACATTGGTGGCAGTAACAGTGATAGTCACTGGCAATTTAAATACTATATAATTTCATCCTAATCAAGGTAGCTGTAGATGATATAACAGCCTCCTGACAGCTGTTGCACGCTGGTAGCAGTGAGAAGGCCGTGGGGAGCCTCAGGAGGTACCCAGCACCCAGGAGACTCCTCTCCTTTTCCTTGGTTATAGAGGGATGTTAATGCACACCTTACATCAGTGCTTTGACACCTACAAAAGTTGTATCTTTGTCATAAGTTTCTAGAAAAACTACAGTTGTCTTTCAAAACTGGAAGTGTTGATTTTGATCCACAGGAAACATAAACAGTGTTTAAAACTTGAAACTCTTTAAAAACAGGCAGTGTTTTTTCCCCTTATTAGTCCGATAAAAAGGCAAGGAAAAAATAGATGCAAGGACAAGGAAACATTGAAGGGGGACACCAGATCAAAGCCTGTGTACAGAATTATCCTCCATTGCTCATTTTCCTGTAGAGGAGCAGGTCTTGGTGTGCAGTATATTGCAATATGCTGCTGCTCTTTTGTTCTGCTAAAACTTTGCTCACAGTAAAGCTGCAAAACAAAAACCTGGCTGGCTCTAAATTTCCTCTCTTCTTTCTACCTTTTTTTTTTTTTTTTTTTTTTTTTTTTCCCCCCACCATATGATGCCCAGGGACTCCAGAAAGCCTTGCTGAGAAAGAAAGGCAGCTCATGGGTATGATCAATCAGCTGACCAGTTTGCGAGAACAGCTGCTAGCAGCTCATGATGAACAGAAGAAGCTGGCTGCATCACAGATCGAGAAACAACGCCAGCAAATGGAGCTGGCTAAGCAGCAACAGGAACAGGTGAGTGATTATTATGGTGGCTTTCAGCTTAAATAATTTTCTTGGAGGCCTTTCCAGTAGTTTATCTTTTAGGCATCATACTCTAAAATTTGCTCTACGCCCCAATTTTTTTTTCCATTTGTTTTCCTAGGTGAAAAAGTATGAACAATAGTGAAAGAATGATTTAACTTGAAATATGTAAAACGATGCTCTTTGTTGTATAAACCTTCCACACCTTATGGACCTTCCATTTTGGAGGTATTTTACTCCAATTCTGGTTTGTTTGGTTTGTTGAGGTTTTTTTTTTTTTTTTTTTAAACTAAGTGTAAACAAGCGAGTAAATTCAGTCCTCCTGAATAATCTTCCAATCCTGCTTGAATTCAGTAATACCGAATAGGTATAAAAGGAACAAAGTGCAGCACTTGGATTGTAATATGAGAAATGAAAAGGTTGGTTTTACCTACTGTGGAAAAAAGCAGAAAAGAATATAAAGTCAGCGAACAAGTGCATCTTTTTTTCTTCTACATTTGTGAGGCTTGATTTTCAGCTCTTGCAAATGTGCCCTTTCCTGAAAATGCAAACACATTTTCACATGTGAGTAGTTCCAATGTGCATACACGGACATAGGACATTTTAGGTAAGAACATAACTTTTTTAACAAGTTTAACAGAAACAAATGTCCGGTTTTGTACCTGAACATGAGCAGAGAATACTTAGACATGTAGTTTAAAATTTTGTCAGCAGTCCATATTGATACTTCTTATCTGAAAGTATTTTGGTCTGCATGACTGTTTATTGCAACTTGGAATAAAATTTAAGTCTATATCATAGAATTGCAACTACGTGAATTTTATGAAACTCACAGAATTCTCTGGAATCTGTCACAGTTGTCATGCTTCAGTGCTGGTATTGTACCAAGTGAGTCTTAAGATTTTAAACCACTGCTGATACCTTCAGACATTAAGGCTTGGTTGTCCCAATTTTTAATTATTTAAAACCTTTATCTTAAAGAATGTGTATTTTGGCCTCCTGCCTGAAATCCCACATAGGGAGAACAGAAGTGACTTACCTGTTAAACCAGAGAATTTATATCATGCTGTTGTTTGCATAATAAAGGTAGATGAAGGTGCGAATATGGAAGTGGCAAGATTCCTTCACTAGGGGACATCCCAAATGAGCTCTCTCCTTTGCCCTACCTTTTAAAATCACTACTGTTACAGAAAGGCTGAATGATCTGAAAGTGAAAAAGAAAACTGAGAGAATGGAAAAGGCAGTAAGAAATCCTGCAGTGTTATTGTTAGGATAACTAGGATTTATTTTAATTGAGGAAATGGTGTATACTTATGTATTATATAGAAATTAAAATAACCAAACTTTGAAAAAAAAAGTATTGATAAAAATTAATTTGGTTGCTTAAAGAAAAACTCCAGAAGGGAAACATTTATTTAATCTTTTAGATGTGGAGTTAACTATGAGTGAGTGTTTCTTATGCTAATAGTCTAATAATAGAAGTAAAAGAAAATACCTAAGGAGAAGAATGCACAAAATTCCTCCCAGTAAGTATGTATAAGTTCCCAACTGACCCTGATATGTGTACACATACCACAGGGGAAGAGCAGTGCTCCTTCTAATGTTTGTACTGCTGCACGAGCTGTTCATGAGAGCAGGGCTTTTGTGATGACTCCCATGAAAGTTTCTAAATTTGCTTTTTAAGTATATAATGGCTTATCTCTGTTCAGCCTTTAGAACACTACTTTGGTTCTGTTACTGTCTGCCTTTTCCTTCACTATGTATTAACAGTAGGATCCTACAGTAGGATTCCCAATCACTTAGTCAGCAGAGAGGGAGAGTGGAAGTCCTTATGGAAAATGCATGTGGCTTTGAGAGGAGACTTTGGACGACTTCATCACCTCCCATAAACCTGTTTCAGTGTTGAGCTGTATGGCCTTGCACTGCCCGCTTAGTTCCTTGCAGTTGATACACACATAGAAGAGTTGGTGATTTTCCCAAACTCAGCTCCAGTCTCTTTGTACCTGTTTCTGCATCAAAAAAATACATGCACTAATACCTTCCTCCAGGGTGTCAGATTTCCATTTTTTAAAAAATTTTTGAACAAATGGTGCCAAACAGAAGAATATTACTGGCCATCAAAATTTTTTATCCTTTTCTACCTTGTCCTTCTATTTTCCAGTTTCTCTGCCAGTAGTGTTCGTCCTCGTGGTGAATTTTAGCAGTGCCATTTCAGACAGATTTTTGCATCAGTCCTTCTCTTGATACCCAGCACAACATTTTCCATAGGATTCCCTTTCACACTGGTATTAGCTATGAATTGCTTCTGTTCATATGCCCCTTGCTTCAGCAGCAAGTCCAGGCTGTACTTGAATGTTTCTTAGCTTAATAGAGAGGTTTAAAGAACCGAGCAGGGTGGAAGTTTCCTATGGACCGACTCCAGGAATGGTGATACATATCTCATGTTTCCTCTGTGCAATTTCTCCACAGATTGCAAGACAACAGCAGCAGCTTCTGCAGCAGCAACACAAAATTAACCTTCTTCAGCAACAGATCCAGGTCAGAGATGCGTCTCCTCCCATGCCCTGTCATCTCTCCTTTCTTTTTTCTGTGTCCCCATGCTTTCCCTCAGCCATTATTGCCATAGTTTCTTTAAGAATCTCAGCAGATGGTTTACATCTTGTTTATGGAAACAAATGAGGATTTTACCTGACATTAATCAATAAAGGTCAGTTTCTGGAAGGCCTTGTATGATTAACACAGTTCCTGTAGGATCAGGAACCAGATGTGAGAGGAACTGGTCATGCAAACAAGGGTTTGGAAGACTAAATCCTCGTTCATCAGGAGTGGCAAAAATGTGACCAGAAAGAGATGGTTTGGAATTTTGTCCTACAACTCTGTTTTTGAGGTTTTGCTGAAGCAGTTCTCCTTGGTAATCGAGAGGACCTCCTTCTGTCTGTCCCAGGTGCTGGAAGTCTGGAAAATATCAGCATTTGGGGCAAATTAATGTCTGAATGAGAAACTGGTCAAAAGGTTGGTTAGATTCAGGAGAGCAACTGTATAGGTTCTACGTTTCTACGGGTTTATTCCAAGTGGTAGAAAAAGTTGTTACCCCAGCATAACCAGTAAAATTTATTTAACCTCTTTCTTCCTTAATGTATTCACAAGTTTCTTTTCATGCCATTGACTGTATTTCATTACTTTTCTTCCACGTGCATATGTGCATGCCCCTGTTTTGGGAACAATGCAAATCAGTTCTCCTGTGAAGGTTTTCACAGAATAACAAAGGAGGAGTTTGACATCTTACAGATATCTGGGATCATGGCAAAATCTCTGGCTGTTTAAGTATGCAGTTATGTATAGAGCATTGCAAGTCACTGTAGAAGTGGATAGTGCATTCTCTTTATTCAGTAACAACAGGATTTTCCTTCCAAAGCTTCTCTTTTGTATTTCAGAATTAATTGCCTTAAATTATCAACCATAACTGTAAACCCATCTAAGAAAACCTAATTCCAGCAAAATCAGAGGAGTTATGTGGCTTCACACTGGAAGAAAACCTGGCTCTATCATTTCAGAGCATATTCTGTCAAGTATCAGGACTTCTATAACTATGAAAAACTTCTGGGCAATGTCCACCCCTCTGTTACTGGGCAGCTTCTATACAAGATGCACTTTGCTGAAAATAATTTTGAGATTGCTAAGGCCTCGTTTGGCCTTGACCTCTGTACTTTTTTTTTCTTCTTCAGTTTGTGTGTGGGAGGGATTTCTTTTTATTGCTGCATCTTTAGTAAAACTTTAAAAGAAAAACAATAGCAGAACCTCTACAATAGAACGGAAAATATTTACATTTTTAGTATTTAGCTATGGCAGTGAGAGAGGAAGTTGTTTTATAAGCAGTGAATAAAAATAAATTGAAGTAACATAATTTGACCCCAGCCCTTTTAAGTTTAAAGGCCTTGTAGATAAGAATGAAGTATGTCGTTTTTAGGGTAGTGGAGAACACTGGTTATTGATAATGAGATATAGAGCCTTTCATCTCTTGATCCCTGGTCCACGTTTGACCTATGCTAGTAGTAAATGAAAGTCAGATAGCTACCATCTGATACAAGCTGCAAGCCTAAGAAATGATTTGGAGGTCTGTCTCAAGGGATTTCAAATGAAATACTGACCCTGCTGAGGTCAGAATTTCACCGTCAGGGTCCGCTTCACACAAACCCCGTCAGATTTGGGGCACCCTCCTTTTGGATGGTCGGACGATAAAGGTCAAGAGTTAAACAGGCAGAGAGACAATCCTGTTCTCTCATTCCCACAGAGCTGATCTGTTTGTAGTGAAATTTTGATGATACTGAGCAAGCAGTCTGGACAGTTCCATGCCTGTATGATCCTGAAGTCTCATGAACCGTGATTCCAGTCCAATAACTGTGAAGTCACTGACAGGAAAAAAAAAAAATTTTAAAATAAAAAAAATCCTTGTTGACAATGAATACAAAGCAAAACATTTCTCCTCAATTACTTGACTGTTGGAGAAAAAAAAATTCTTGAAGAAACCTTCCTTTGTATATAAATGAAAACAATAAAGTCTCCCTAACTTGCCCATGTTTAAAACGGTCAGTGAGTTTACAGTCAGGTTATGGTAGGTGGAACAAAATTGTGACATGAATGTAGATGTGAGTTCAGCTTTTCTGACCTTGCCCTAATTAATCCAACAGGCTCCTGTCACGTTGGCCTGAAGTTTTTAAATAGCATTAGATTTATTGACAGGGAAATATTCTTGTAAAGTCTGGATAACTATTTGACTTAAGTGCAATTGAATGATTAGGCTGCAGTTATGAACACAACCTATTTATGACAAAGGAATCGTTTTACTTTAGCCAATTTTTTTCTAAGCTTGTAAGAGTTGCCGTAATTCCAGATAAATTATTACGCAAAAAAAGCTTTTGAAATATTGTATTGAAAACATTATACTCTAAGGTTAAAAAAAGAACAACCTGCCTGACCCCATGATTTATGAGTCCTTTCTCTAAGTATGCTAATTTGGAAACAGTTCCCTCTCTCCTTACCCCATCACACAGTCACTGATACACAATACATAACCAGGGAGAGACTGCAATGTCTCTCTCTCTTCCTTAGAGGACTGAAAATGCTGAGTGTAGCTACAGCTCAGTTAAACTGACCACTTCTGTGACGCTGAAGAAAGATGCTTTAGTTCCTTGAGCTTAAAAAAAAAATACACCTGGCATGTGAGTCTCTGATGTCTTTTTCAAGTCTGTCTCTTCTGAATAAGCTGGAAGGAGGTGCCAGTAACACAGAAGACAAGCAGTTTTTCTTTGTATAGAGAGTTAAGAGAGAATGCTAAACTGGAGAAAAGTTGCAGATTAGATTAAATATGACAGTCTGTATGACCTCAAAACGCTGAAATGTGATCTAGATGAGATTTTGTGTTTTGGCAAATGTTCATAATCTATTTTTCTACTTTTCAGGAAGTTCTAGACCTAATTTGTGAAGAGGTTTGAGTTTCTCTGAATCATTAACTAAACCTCCCCGCCATCTGATTTTATGCCACTTTGGAATGCATCCTCCCATGCTCACTGCTTTCTGTTCTGGTAACCTTTGTGTGCGTGTGTATTGGAAAGGTTTTCACTTTAACAGTTTCTACCTGCTGAATATTTGGGGTCTTCTTCCCCGCACACCTCAGTCTAGTTATTTTAGCAGAAATGAAACTGGAGTGCGTGTTTTGTCGACTCTTGTGCACCAGCAGCCCCAAAGATCTCAGGTTGTGTTTCAGCGCAGCTCTGTAGCAACCTGCAGCTGTAGAACAGGCTGAGGAAAGAGCATGCAAACACCAAGTACAGCTCAGCAAATTCGCGGACTAACTCTGGTTCTGTCCTTCGGGGCCTCTGGAGAACTCTCTTGCTGATCTCCTTGTCTTTTGTCAGGCCACCATCTACTTCCTGCCACCCTTGCTCTAGAACATGGTGAAGTCTGAGGCTCTGTAGCTGTCACATCACAGGGGCAGAGGGTGAAAGAAACTTGAAAGGCTGGATGCTCCTTCCTCATGCTGAGCCAGTCCCCAGGATGGGCAATGGGTGTGTGTTGTGTTCTGCTTTGAAGGGTGTCTCTGAGACACAAAGTTTTGAGGGGTCGTGCAGTTCACTCCTTGCACTTGCTCAAAGAAAAAGTCTAGCCCGGGATGATGATTGAATAGTTTGCTTTGAAGCTCAGTGACGAATGTCACTTTAATTGAACTATATTTAAAATGAAATATGGTTGTTAAAATTCATAAAGCAATTCATATTCAGTAGGGCACTGTTGATAAAATAGGTCAACCTTGCAGCCGAAATTGTGATAAAACTGATGCTGCTAATCTCACAATTTTGTAGAAAGCCTGACAATGTTTTATGTTTTTCCCTCAAGCCCCAGCTCTTGGAGTCATGTGATGACAAAAATGCCAGCTTTCATTTCTTCAAAATGTAAACTTCCAGCTCTCATATTTCCAGGCAAAATCTGAAACCATGAGCACTACAAGTTCCAAAATTAGAAGGCAAACAAAACGGAGGCCAAATGCTGTTTTTTAAACTGTTCTGATTTTTAGTCAAAATTTTTTTTGGAGAGCCCAGCTCAAGATCTTGAAGCACTTCAGGTTGCCAATAATGTAAAACTAAATCTCAAAGCAGCAGCAAGCAACAACACTGCTTTACAGTGTCTCTAACATTTGGGCCACAGTTCTGTTTTACTTTCTAGCTTAATACTGCCAGTACTTCTGTACTTTAGTACTGCAAGTTATGAATTTGTTTTCTTTTCTGAGTGACATACTTAGCTCAAGAACCCAAGTGCTGTCTGAAACTCGAGGGCAATTCCTGCCAGACAGCAACCATTTCATGACTCTGTATGTTTTAGGAGAGAGTTTTCATTTTCCTTCAGAGCTAGAGACATTCAACAGATGTTCTGATAGGACACCTTCTTTGCAAGAAAATTTGGACCTCTGAAGAATGAGAAGATCCTGACTAAATTCTGATGCAAAACTGGGAAGAGTGCCTCTGGCCCACTCTGCCTGCCAGGTGGGATGTGACTTCTGCCTGGCTCCTGGCAGGTGTGCTGGCTCCTGGGCAGAAAGCTCACTCTGACCTTGATGGCCTCAAGCTCTGCAGACCCTCAGCAGCTTGTCTGGCAGGGAGTGTGGGCACCATGGCCCACCTGACTTCGTGCCCCTTTGGGCTGCAAGCTTCCTGGCTTTCCTGAATCCCTCAGCTGCACTGGGTGTCCTCCCAGCTCCAAATAAGGCTTTCCCCTATGAGTCTGGATCCAGATTTCCATCCTCCCACCCGCTGTCAGCTGGCTGGGTCCCTTTCCCCATGAGTTGTGTTGGTAGATGGAGAGGTCTGGCTGTGGTAATATGTTCCCAAATCAGAATATTCCCATTCTCATTACCTTCTGAGGTTTAAGATGTTGTTCCAATTTGGAATGTAATAAAATCTTCAACACTTGGAATTTCCTGCAGGATGGTTAGTCCATTTTGCAGCCAGATCTGTTTTTCAAAACCTAGCTAAATTTTGAGGAGG